TGCTACCACAGTCTGTAGTCACTGTGGGGATTAAAAGTAGAGCATTTTCAAATTTTTATGAGATTTTCTTGACTGTGGTAGGTTAGCAGTCGAACTTGATGACCTTAGAGGTCTTTTCCAACCTAAAGAATTCTACGATTCTATGAAAAGAAACTTGCAAGGTTTTGTCTGGATTTCTTAATTTTCTGAAGTTAATTGACTTAATTTCTGATCCATTTTACTCTGTTCCTTAAAGACTCTGAAGCTCCATTTTAAGCAAGATGAAACTAAAAGCAGAGAGTTGCAGTTCCATATCTTATCCTGTAACTCCCATGGGGACTTCACAGGTAACCACCTCCTCCAAGCAGACACCATTACCTAAGCTTGATATATTTCTCTGGAATACTTAATCTGGTTTATAGGGAAAGATATATTTAGACCATCAACTATAAGGTCTAAATTCAAAAAGGTACTGAGACTTGCAGACTATTCGCTAACCTGACTGTTCAACTCAGCTCCTGACATAAGCTGTGTTGCCATATCTGCTTATATGCCTTTAAGGCACTCTTTGTGTCACAAAGCTTCATAAAACACACTTTAAAGAAACATGTATTGTTAATGCTGACACATATTTTCAGGGTTTTGAAGGAGAGTTTAATATCTGCATCTGCTCTATAAATAAAGGGATTTGACCTTTATGGCTTTCAAAGGACACTTTTAACAAGCTCTTAAACTTTCCTAACTTAAAAAGGAAAAATGCCTTAGTCACCTTGCAGTAGATGTACAGAATGGTACTGAGTGGCTGCAGCCCATGGCACGCTGCTGTCCTTGCAAGGAGGTTCAGAGGGGCCTGAATGAATAACAACAAAGCAGATGAAAGTCTCAGTTTCAGCTGGACAAGCCCACATTCATTAATTGACTAGTCTACCCAGCTTGTTTATTATTAATTCTAAGAGCCATCCAAGTAGGAGAAGCACCTGTGATGGGGTGTCAGCTATCAGAGGTCTCCATCTAGCAGAGTCTTGCCTGTCACAAACTGGGCAAGCCACCAGCATTGCTGTCAGGGTGAGAAACCTTTGGATAACAGCTCGGCTTCCCGTCAGGGCTTGCTGGATCAGTGTGGTCATAAATAGGAAGGGAAACACATATTAAGTATCCTTTTCTTTTCTTGTCCTTTCCTCCTGGCATTTGGCCTACAGCTTTGTGATTTTAGGATAAAAGTAATTTTTGTAGTTTATTGATGATTTTTTTCAATGAAATCCTGTAAATCTGACTCGAACCCAGGGCAGGACTTCTCTGGTACCTGCGGTGCAGCTGTGGGGGTTCATAGGGCCAAAGGTCAGCTCCAGAATCAGCTCTGGGAGGCCTGATAGACCTCATATGAGCCCCACTCCAGGGGACTCAGATTGGGTGAAGGCTTCTCTCTGGCTCTGCTTTGGACCATCTCAAATAAGAGTTGTTCCAGCTGTGGTCATAAGCAGTCTACAGAAACAAAATGAAATATTGCAAAAGTTCGTCTAAAATATGTTGTTCTCTGAAGCAACCATTGGCAGTATACCCATAGATGTATATAGTCACTTTCTTAAATTAAATTTATAGTCTGGACCATAAAAATAATCTGAAAATGGTAAATACTTTCTATTTTAAAGCTATTATAATTTTTATGTTCTCTGAAAACAACTGTCTCTTAGTCATGTCCTAGAAGTGTTTCATTTTATCTTGTTTCTCTTATTGAATATGTTGACATATTCTTGACATTGAAGTTGTTGAAAGAGCAGTTTCCACATGAGATATGTAAACGCATGCTCTGTATAGGCAGGGTCTTCATATTTCACAGAAAACTATGATGGTCCTATTCTTGGGATGAGATTTTTTCCACTGGTGGGGATTGGAGTATTTTGAAACTGTTGTTTAGCAAACAAAGCTAACCTGGAGCCTAAAAATATGCATGGCATTTGCAGAGAGTCTGTAAGCCTGCCAAGGTTACCCTTTTGTGATATAAATCAAGGCAATACTATAATGGTTGTACATCTTGGGGCTATTGCAGTTACTTACAAAATCCATACCAATGAAATGTGGTCCTTATTGGAAGATCAGATTATAACAGTCGTACCTGTAGTCACTTTGTGAATCACTCATTGTTTTCTCTCCCTGCTGCCATATTACCTGTAATACATGAGTGTGGGAGGTCCTTGGGTCCAGGCCACTCTTAAATACTGGCTTGACAAATACACCTTCCAGGATGTAGCCATGGTTACTGATGGAGCCCCTGAAATATTAACTACCCACATCATTATATAGATTATATCTGTCCCATATAGTTCTATCTATACTGTTAATGGAATCTAATTACTTAGTATATAATAATAGCATCTATTAAAATCATAGAATCAGCTGGGTTGGAAAAGACCTCCGAGGTCATCAAGTCCAACCCTTGATCCAACACCACCGTGGTTACTAGACCATAGCACTAAGTGCCACATCCAGTCTCATCTTAAAAACCTCCAGGGACAGCGAATCCACCACCTCTGTGGGCAGCCCATTGCAATGTCTGATTACTGTCTCTGTAAAGAATTTTTTCCTAATATTCAACCTAAACCTCCCCTGGCACAGCTTAAGATTGTGCCCTCTTGTCCTACTGCTGGTTGCCTGGATTGTAGCCCACCTTGCTACAACCTCCTTTCTGGTAGTTGTATAGTAGTATATAATAATAGTATCTATTAATATTTAGTATCTACCTAGTATCTATAGTAATAGTATCTGTTACTATTACTATTAACTAGATTTTGCTTGCTTCCACACTGAGATCAGTATACCTGCAAACCTAAACTGGGTTTCAACCTAACTTGTGTTACAGTAGTATTGGTATAAGACTATAAGGACTGAAATCAGTGGCTGTTTTTTTACCAGCTTCATTAGCTATATCATTTTTCTCAATAAAGACTATTCCACAGATTTGCAGACTTTTCTGCTAAAAAAGGAAAATCCAAATATTTTATAGCCCAGGCCTGGACTTCACTCATGAGGACATGATAAATATCATATGAGTACTATAGATATACATCTATATTTAATCTTGTCTTTGAAAAATATTTAAAAAGCAGCACTTAATTTTTTTTTTAGGTAATAGTACAACTGCAGTAATGAACCCTTTTTTTACAGTGCCTGGTAGTGATCTCTTAGCAACTAAGCCACATCAGGCTAGTTTTGATAATCTTATTCTTGTTGAATGACAGTAATCCTATTGAAATATAGTTAGATTATCAATAAGGTAGTACTAAGAAAGATTATATATGTGGCCTAAAATAAAATAATAATCACACTTTATACCCTGTTAAATTACAAGCTGTCCATTGCTTTAATAAGATGCTATTTAGTCCCAATACAATATGTTCAAATACAATCCTGAAATTCAGACAACCACGGAAGTACATGTGCCAAAAATTGAAGAACTTGATTATGGCTGCATAAGAGTGACTGAATTCAGGTTAAGCCAGTATAAAACTTAACTCTTCATATCTTCGTATTTTATTCCTTGTGAGAGCTGGAGACAGGCAACTCAAACTTTTGCTGCTTTTTAAAGGTCATTGGCATTTTCAGTGTGTATTTAAAGCTTTAAATGAAACAATATATATGATTTTTTTTTTTCAACGAATCTTCTGCCTTTCTCTTAAACTGAAGTTTTTGGCTGAGTTTCAAACTTGTGAGGAAAAGCTGAGAAAGAGTCTTCATTACAAACCCCTTCAGACTTTAATTGACTCATTCTCAAAGACATTATCACAAATAGTGTTTTGATAGAGAAAAAAAATCCAGATGACATGAACTACCCCTGAATGTTGCTCAATCACACTCCTCTGGGCAACTCTTTTCTGCGCATCAGGACTGAGAAAATGCCATCCCCATTAATGTGGGATGGTGAAACTGATATAGTACATTTTCTGAGACATTTGAAAAACTAGAAGTATCTCTGTCCTTTAGAAAATTTCCCTTGCCTTGGGACGTGACTAATATCCAGCCTGCAATTGATTTGCAAACAATCTAGCAATTTTGTCAGGTTTGTGTTCCCAGAAACTTAATTTAGAGATTTTCTATTAATACCAGATACTTCACCATAGGCTTTTCTTCCTACTGTATTTGGCTTCCTGCCACCCTGCGGCTCACAGACACCCATTCCAGCTGCCACTAGCTAGAGGAAGAAGCCAACAGGCATAAATAAATATTTGCTGTCCTTGACAAAACCTTTGAAGAAGGCCCCTGCTCTGATCAGAAATGTATTTCCCTAGGAGTAAATAGATTCAGGAAAAAACCTACACTGTATAAATGCACCATATTAATACCCTTCCTCTGTGAATCTTTGGTCACAGCTTCTTACACTGTTGATGTAAGTTTACCTCTTAGAAAGAGTTAAAGACGTTGTCAAACAGAACCGAGATCCTGTCCTGCCAATCAGTCAGTGACAAAACCATCAGCTAAGTCTGGGGTTCAGAGTGTTTATTCTTAGGAATGATGCACAAATCAGAAATAAAGCAACCTGGTTGCAGTCCCAGGGGAAATGTACGCAAATATGCTGTGAAACAGTTTCCCACTTCCCACTTATCACAGCAATGCCTAGAGCAGTTTGGTTCATGGGGAAGGTTGTGGGCAACAGCACAAGTTCTTCTCTGTTACAGCATACAGGCTGTTGCAGGGACCAGAAGAAGCAATTTGTAATACACTTTTGGAACAGAGAGGGGAGAAAATCATAAATATTTGATTTGTTTTCTAATGTTGCCTATCTGAAATTTTCCAAAATCAGCCTGTGTCAGAACCACATTAAGAGCTTAAAACTCTGCATAGCCTTCAGCACAAGAAAGAACTTACAGCCTTAAGGGCCCACCCAGTTTCTTAAATCCCTGCATGGATTATGGTGTTGCGATCAATGCACACAGGATGGAGGAAAATCCTGAGAATGGAAACTTCTCTTGTTCTGTGAGAAATGTTTGTGCTGTTCAAGACAACAGATGAGTGTTTGTATTGAACAGATCTCCCTTGTTTGGAACAGAAGAAACAGCTCAACTGCAGAGCGTGCTGCCTCCTTGGCCCTCCTCCACCACCCCTGTTCCCACCACCGTACTTCAGACACAGCTGGAGCACTGTAAGTCTGGCCTGAAAGCCTCTCTCTGCTTTTACATGACTTTTAATGTGTGACAAAGATGAAGCATCCTCTCAAGCATTGCTTTGTGGTGTCACTCAGCAAACACTCCTGGTTGTGTTGATATGGCTCTGTTAGGACCACCTCTCAACATCCCAGACTGGGACTTGAAGTAAATCTCAAATAGATCAAGGAATTAAATAAGGCTGAGTTTGTTCAGGCAGTTAATTAAATTAACATATTCTCCTTACTCTATTTGGGGACTTTTGGAGTAAGGCAATCCTGAACTAAAGGAAATGTCACTGCAATAAATCCAGTAAAGACAGAAAGGCACTGTTCCATTCTACCCAACAATTTCGGGGTGTAGATTTTGTATATTTCCTGTTTTACATCACATGTGCCTTACCCGGTGGGTGAAATGAAGGTCCTGAAATCCTCCTATGGAATCTATTCCCAGCATTTCATTTTGCAGGAAGACAGACAAGTTTGAGTTGCTGGTATGCAGTTTTCACTTACCCACCTATGCACAAACCTGCTGTACATGACATGTATCCATACACATACGTTAACAAATGCAACATACAGAACACAATGGGTACATGATATAGCACTTTGCCCAATTACTCTTACTGATAGGGTCTGTTAACTCCAATATATTTTTCATCCAAATTTTTAAGAATTTTTATACCCACTCAGTAATTCCTATTCTTAATTCTACTATCCATTTACCATATACAAACACTGCAGTTATTACTAGTGTTATGTAAATAATGATTAGTAAGATGTCAAACAAGAACTAACCCAAGAAAAAGTAGTGTAAAATCCTCCATTGCCTTGAGAGAGATCAAGATTGAACTCAGGGTGCTATTCTCTCCAGATCAAAAATTTAGTTGCCCCTACTTTCCTCATCACTTCCACTGTCTGTGCCTTGATTTCCACAGAAAGTACACTCAGAGACAAAACCTCTCAAGGAATGTGGTGTACTCCTTCAGTGAGGATGAAGTTGGGACTAGGGTTCCTGAGATTCCTGTAAGCAACCCAGAGAGTAACCCGAGCATAAAATCATCCTTCACACCACCTCCCCAATAAAAACATGAAATAAAATAAGTAGTTATGAATAGGGTGGAAGCCACGTGAATTCACTACGAGCAGTTTTTGCTTTGGAGTCTGTAGTCAGAGCTTTTCTGGAAAGCGGCCTTTCATGTGAGAGCTGAAGATCAGTTGTGTTAATCCAGTGTTTCTGGCTCAGTGTTCATCTGTGTTTCCAGGGGAGATCACCTTTGTCACAGGACATAATAAGGCATTTTACTCATGAAAGCTTAATTTTGAAGTCAAAAGATCAGACATCCATCGATCATTTACGGCATCGTCTCTGATCTGCAGTGAATGAATGTCTGCCAGTTAGTGTCTTCTGGAGTGAAATTCATGCTGCCTATGCCCTCCCTGAGTGTAGTATCTATTATTAGAACAAAGACACTATTCTAGGAGAGGAGCTGCTACTTGCAAAGTGGGACAGGGAGAGCAGGGTCAGGTCTAAGAATAGGCCAGGGTCCCACTCTGGCTTGGAGACACACACAGCAGCCTGGCTGTGATGTGCCTCTGTGAGAGGAGAAGGAGGAGGAGGAGGAGGAGGAAGAAGAGGAGAAGGAAGAGGAGGAGGAGGAGGAGGAAGCTTGAGGCAGGATGCTATGCCGAAGAGCTAATGTTCAAACATCCATGAAGAGAACCTTCTGACAAACCCTAGGCTTCTTCCTAAGAGTGTGAATAAACTCTCTTGAGATTGTAGCGTGTGGTGGCTGGATTTTTATGCATTTCTCCAGCAGGTTACATGTTCACTCATATGTCTTATGTTTGGTAGAAGCTGCTTGATGTGGATATGGAAGAGTTGTGTCATGAGCTCCAGATAATACAAGCTTCTTCTCTGCTTGAATCACACTGTCCTTCCGGGCCTCCTGGCCCCCAGGTGAGTGATGCATTCGTGATAAACCACATTATTCTCTCACTTGCTCCAAGGTCCTTATAAAGCTGTGAAACATCTGAAAATGCTTTTTACAACTTAATAAACATACCAAACCCTGCTTAATTTCATTTTGATATGACTTTGCATAAATCATGTAGGCTTTTTACCCTATGTTCTCATCCCTGCCTTGAATACTCCAGTCTACTTCAAGCTCACCCTCCATTTTTGTGGAGTTCCACAGGGGGTAGCACAAATCAAAAATCCCAGAGGCATCCTCACTTCTCTCAGAGGTTCTTTATCAGGTTTTTCTTTGCTTTAGACTCTGTTGTCCTTTTATTTGAGGACAAAAACCTGTGGAGTGGATGCACAAGAGATGCAATGGACTGGAATGTTAGCAGAGTACATCCCTGGGAAGGCAAACACCTACAGCAAACACCAGAGAAAAGGAGGGGCTTCAGCAGGGTAATGGGGTGGGATTCAGGAGATGGGTGATCTCCTAGATTGATCTGCACCATCTCTGCCTCTGACTTGCTGGATAGCCTTGGATGAGTCTTTTTGACCTCACACCTCATTTTTGGCAATTTACACTTCCAGAAATCTTCAGAAGTTCAGAAATCTTAGAATCACAGAACAGTTTGAGTTGGAAGGAACCTCTTAAGGTCAACTAGTACAACCTCCCCCTACAACAAACAGGGACATCTTCAACTAGGTCAGGTTGCTCAGACTCCCATCCAACCTGACCACCTTCTTCTGAGGAAACAGACCACCTCTAGAGGGAAGTTTGTTATGGACATCTCTGTAATGTGGAGAAGATCATCGAGTTGCCTTTCCATTCCAGTTTGTTCCCTCCAAAGAAAAGTGAGACTGGTGAGGTACTTCCAGTTTCTCCTGGAGCACAGGAAGTCCTAATCAGTGTGTTGTACCTGGTTCTTTGGAACAGTGATGTTCCTCAAGGCCCCTGGATGCCGGTTTATTACAATATAGCTAATAGCAGAGATGGCACTGGGCCTTTGCTGCAGCAAAGCTGTGACTGAGCCTTTGGCAGCCTGAGAAGTTAACAAGCACCCAAACACTATTTAAAAAGTATGGACAGTACATCAAAATAAAGGTTCTATTATGTGGCAAAAAGCTTAACTTTAATTATTTAGGAGTCAGTATTTCAGAAGGTATTTGTAAGTAGTCTAGAAGCTGCAATGTGAAAGCCACAAAGTTTTCTTTTTATAGAATCATAGAATGGTTTTTGTTGGAAGAGACCTTAAAGGTCACCTAGTTCCAACCCCCTCATGAACCTTGTGTTTATTGTCCTACCATTTTGTCTTTGCTGAGTTGTAGGATGAGGCGGTTTCATTTTGCATGAGAATGATGAGTAGTGGTGAGATGGGAGTTGTTTCTCCAGTCCTGTATTGAGAAAAGCCTCTGCATTATGAAACAGCCCTGCAGTATGGTTGGCCATGATCCAGAGATGCCATACTTGTGAAAGAGGCAGTTGTTATTTCAGTCTTCACTAGACTCTTTTTCTTTTAAGAAAAAAATCTTTTAATACTGTCCCTGGCTTACATTGGAAGAACAGTAATGTTAATTCTATTGTTCTACAAAGTCCATTGCTATAAATAATGTTCATCTTTCAACCAAATGACCTATGATACCTCCAAGAACATTTTTAAATAGAGCAGGCTGGCAGATTTTATCACAACAGCAGACAGTAGAGTGAGTAAACATGGCTTTGGAATTTTTAATTATAAATTACAGGACTGTGTCTTGTAAAGGGACAATGTCAGAACCAGCAGTCCCCTGGGCAATACTTTTGTGACAATGGCAGCCTGAAAAGAATACTACCATTACAAAAAGAGATCTACTAACTACTTCTGAATTCTTTTCTGCTGTAGCCTGCATGGCTTTCAAAGGAGTTGCAAAAGCTCATACTGTTGAATCTTAACAGCTGAATTTTAACACTTTTTCATAAGAAGGAGAATTAGATTTGTAGTGGCATAACTCGGACTATAATTCCTCCCACGTGTAACCTTCTAATGAAAGAAATAAGGTAAATTTTGTCTCTGACTAATAAGGTGCATTCTGATTTACGCTACTGAAAACCTAAAATAACTATACTGACTAAAATAGTTGGAGTACATTTTACTCCTATTCATGTACAATTTACATAACATTTTGGACAGTATAAGGCAGCCAGGATTCAAACCTGGAATGAATGATTGTGAATCTAATGCTGCTCTGATGCAGGATCATAGGATTTTTTTTCCTTAGTCACTCAAAAATAAAAAGTGGGCTGTGAATTGAGGCATTCTACAAACAAAACTTTTTTTCTGATTTTTTTTTCCTGAGATGGAGTTCAAGGTCTCCCTGGATTAAGAAGTCTCCTGAAAGGAGAATCAGTCTGATTTGAGAGAGAGAAATATATTAAGGATTCAGAAGTGATGGCAATCCTCCGTGTCCATCCCACTCTGCAGAGCCCATCCCACATGTTTTGTGCTACTTCCCTTATGATTCCTTTGGCTGACCTCCTTTCCCAGCCGATGTGGTGTCTCCATGTCCTTGTTGTTGCTAATTCTTCAGGACTCTGATAAGGTCTCATCTTTCATTTGCCCCAGGCTTGTTTTTCTTTTTGGTCCTCTTCATCTATGAGATGCTCCTGCACTTCCCATGTCAGTCCAACTCTCCAGCCTCCTGTTTAGCAGTGGCACAGACTTGGTGTTTAGAGGCCACATTCAAACATGTCAATCAGCACTTCAGACTTACAGGTTCACACTGTGCCCAGGAAACATCCATAGGGTCAAGGGTTGAGGGAAGACGACCATCAGTGCCTCCTCACTAATGCAATTTAATAATAGCATTCACTTTTTTTCCTAGGGTCCACAAGGAATTCCTGGTATAATGGGACCAAAAGGGGAGAAAGTAAGTGTCTTTTGTTTTGGAGTTTGATAAGTTTTTGAGGGGCAAAGAAGGAGGGGAGGATGTTAAATTTTTTCCTTGTCTGTTAAGTGAACAATGAGTCTTATGAATGGGGGGATTTGCTTTAAATGGAATACAAAACTATAAATTGTTTTGAAGATATAATTTAAAACTTAATCTTTCAGTGTTTATTTTTGATCTTGAAATATTTTTACGGCTTCTCATGACAGGTACCTCTGTTTAGGGTATGCAGTAAGAAAGCAGCTCAGGTGCACAAGTCAGCAATGTTGCTGATCCAAAAGCCTTTGAGCTCCCTGTCCCTCTGGGAGGGTGTGAGAAGCAGAGCTCTCCCATGTAGTGTGAATTGTATGGGGCAGCTCAAGTATTAAAACTGGCCTATATGTTATGTTTTCAGATATGTAAAACATTTGTTCCATAATGATGCCTAAAGAACTTTGTACCTGGAGCTGTGCATGTAGTTACATGGTTTGTTATACAAGGTGATGTAAATCTTCGTTCATGAAGCCTAGCCATGACGTGACATATACAAGGTGATGACTATAGATTTAAGGCTGAAAACAGAAGAAATACCGAGGAGCTCTGACAAAGTAATTCTTCTCATTTTACCTCTGAGTCTTGAGCACAAAGATATTCCCAGTTTTTTGTTTGTTTTTAATATAAATACTCCAATGCATTGACTTATGGACCACTGTGCTTCATGTGGTGGCTACAAGACTAACATATTCCTTTCTCTGGCAGGGGGAGATTGGCAGGCCAGGAAGAAAGGTATGAACAAAAGTGCTGTCTCAGAAATCCATTGAATACTTGACACATAGCTGCCAAAGAGGGGTGCAGACAACAGCTGAAAATAATTAGCTTATGTTGAAGTTTAATCTGTTTGTGCTGCTCTGATTGGTACCCAGAGTGGATGGCAGGGAACTCCAGGTGCAGGGCTGGAGAGCTGCCCCAGCTGGTTTGAATTCAACAAATTCCCTCAGTAAAAGCATGGAGATTAGTCAAACAGAGAGGGAAATTACCTCAATTATGTCTCTTGAGACAGAGGAAGCAGGGTATGGGAGCTATCATAAAAGGTGCATCAAAAGAAAGCCCAAAGCAAAATCAAAGTTTTTACTCTTCCAAAGTCTAAACAAGCCTCAGCCAGATAGCCCTGAAGGAGAAATAACCATTAATGATTATAATTCCAGAGATTTGGCAACAATGCAATATGCTGAGTACAATCCCAGGCTTACTTGGTGACATATGAGCCGTGATATATCATCAAAAATATGTGCCCCTACATGTGATGAAACAGAATACGTTATCTCAGTCACTAAGTACATCCATTTAATGTAATTAACTTTAAAAGAAGACAGAAATGCAGAATGAAATCAGAGATATGCTGAGGGTAGTCATTAACCAGGAAAAGAAGTACTCTTCTAATAATATACCAAGGATTTTAACACCTTTCTAATAATATACACCACCTACCAATCAGTAATTCAAATACGTATAAAACACATAAACAGAAGAGGCCATTTTCTTTCATCTATTGGCAAATAGATTACAGAAAACAAAAAATTACAGTAAATGAGAATATTATTTATATAAATTCAAGGGTTCAGAACAGTAATGTCTTGGAGAAAGTAACCCACCAATGTACAAGAAGGTGCAAACCTTAACCACAGTACATTGGTACTTTCTCTTCTGACAAAACCCGGTAGGTTCCAAAAGAGAAGTCGCTCAGGATGGAAATAAAACAGTATAACTCTCGCTAAAAGCTGTCTGGCCCTTGGGAGTTTGCTCTTGGCCCCAAAAGTCATGATGATGTTTCAAATATCATATTGTCAAGTGGTGTAATGCAGTGGAATAGCATTAAACTGCAGCATTTTAGGAGATATTCAAAGAGTGATTTACGGGAAGTAATCAAAACAGATAAATAACTGTATGTATGCAGTTATTGCTAGTCATGTAGTAGCTAATAAAGAGCAGTTATAGCTAGTAATATAGGAATGTTTAGAATAAGAACAATTGTAATAAGAATAGTTAGTTGAAGATTTGGTTCTGCTCTTATCATAAATTGGATTCACATGGATATAATTACATGCAGGTCTTTTTATCTCCTGTCTGCAGTAGAGTGAGTAGGAATGATGTTTTATGAATCATTGTAATCAATGTTTTTCGTTCAAGGGTAGACTGGGTCCCCCGGGTGTCCCTGGGATGCCAGGACCAATAGGATGGCCTGGACCTGTAGGACCGAAGGTAAGACTAAAATTCACATGGAACAACCCGTTCGGCATCATGAAGACAAAATAGTTGTCTTAGGAAGTCTCTAAACAACTACGTGCCAGAGGTTGGGAAGATGTAACAGTGCAAGAACACTCTGTGCTTGTCCCATATCTTACACTGGTATGCCCAGTCTAGGATTAGGTTACTCCACCTTCAACCCAACCCCTGTAGCACTCCTTATGTTGATTAAACATGTCAAAGGGAAATTGAAAATCAACCTAATAAAGACTTATTGGTAGGCACTGATGTCTCACAATCACATGAATCAGTGTTTCTAAACTGATCATCATTTTATGACTATTCTTTATGATGATCCTTTTGCCTGAAGGTATACTGTGAGCCTGTGTGATCAGAGGGAAAACACCAGACTGGTATCAGGTGAAAGAGACTACGAACCATGAGGATTGATTATCACACCTTTGAAGTTCATTCCCACAAATGAAAATTCACAAATGAATAGTCACAAATAAAAATTCAAAAATAAAAATTCATTCCTGTTATTTTTATTAACCAACAGCAGAAGAAACGACAGGACACACTTTGCTACCGCAGAGTAGCTGTTTCATCTGCATTTATTATAAAAAATGCTTCAAGACAGTCCTTTAGTGAGTACTATCTTATGCCCAAGGTATACAGTTCTTCGCAGGAGTCTCAGTTTAGGGAGTTTCTAGTGGGACTTTAGAGATAACTTGCTTTTCTTCAATCCAGTATGCATTAGGGAAAAGGACTGCACACAGTCCTTAGTTTGAAGCTGCATTTTCCATTAAATCTTTGATTCTTCTTTTGCCCTATGAAGGTTGATGCCCTCACCGCAGAGAACATGATGCAGTAGCTCTTGATACTGCAAGAATAATAGTAGATGACTTCTAATTCAAGCTGCATCTGGAAGCAGACCGTCAAAACCTTTACAGCTCTTTTAGATGAATAACATCACATTGTAGTATGTGGGAATGTAGACAAGCAACAAGAGAGTATGTACTTAATTAAATCAATGAACTGCGAGATGGGAAATGGTGTCTCCCCCCAAACAAATTTAGTGTTATGATTTCCCACAGTGGGAACAGTGAGGGCAGAGGGAAGGTTCAACTAACTTCGTAGTCTTAGTGAAAGAAGAGAGCAAAGCAGACAGAAAACTTGTTCACTTAGTCTTTTCCTTATATAAGCTTTAGCTTTATTTATGCAGTCTTTCTAATTTTGATTTAATCTCCTCTGTCTACTACTATGCTTTTTCATCATATTTCTAAAAGCATCCCTCATGTTCAGTAGAAATACTTTTTTCTGTACTTTAGCTGCAGTTCTTACTTGCTGTTTGATTTCACTTCTGCTTTTATTGTCTTGTCTGATACCGGTCTCCTTTGTTCTTTAGAAAAGTTCACAGCTTCACTTTTTCTGGTCTTTATAAATTTTAGTTTCCTGCCTGTCAATGAAGGTTCCAGCTGAATACAGTCCAACAGATCTCTGGGCTCATATCAATTGCTTGTGTAATTGGTTGTGTCTCTCTTTCCTTTTTCCCCATCTCTGATCTTCTCAAAGTTCTGACACTCATCTTCACCATAAACATTTGCTGCATCCTCTTCTTGCTGTAAATGTCCAGTGTGCTGCTGTTTGGCTTTATTTCCACATATCCACCTCTGTGGATATTTGCTATTTCTTCAGCTGGGTCTCCTTCCTTGTCTTTTCTTTCTTTGACACAGCCTTAGTTCGGTCCTTATTTCTCCTACTTTGTTTCTTCAAGTCTTTTCTGTAGTTTGTTTTCTTTCAAGTCTCCAGGGGCAGCAGCCAGTGTGAAAATCCCCTCCATTTCTAGGACAGTGAAAGCTGAAGGAGAATGAGAGGCAAATGTATTCTGCTGGTAGTGCTGCTGCATGTCTGGCCGTCTACTCCATTATTTCATGCTAGATATAATTAGCTGACAGTAGCCAGAGAAGTTGTCGTAAATTTTTTTTGTGATTTACTGGCTCCAAATGACTGTACAGCACGTGATGTCTCAGAACTTCATTAAAAGTAGTCATTATGCTTCCCCAAGCCATAAGGCATGCAGCAAAACACCTTTCTTATCTGCAGCCTAGTGGAAGTGGAAGTGGTGCCGGGTAGAGACAATGCACCTTCATGCAGAAAAGGTGATGGTGATTTGCTTGCATGTCCTTTAATAACATCTGGCAAAACTGGAGCATAAGTTGTGCACACAAGAAAGTGTAAATAGAAGAGTAAGATAACATGTGGGGACTCAGGCAGAATACAATTGCAATATAGACCTCTGTCTACCAGAGATCTACACTAAGGTCAGGCTTATCTCAACTATTTGACATAAAACCTGAACCACTAAACTGTCAGACATTCAAATATGGTGTCATCAGAGAGCCACAATCAATAACTCTCTTTATTGACCCCTTTAGGGTGAAAAGGGAGAATTGGGTGTGATGGGATTGCCAGGTACAAGAGGACCAATGGGCTCCAAGGTTTGTTAACCAAGTGCTGTGTTTTCAGACATTGGTTTCTAACACTCTGCTGACAGCTGCTTCCCTCATGAATTTGCTGGAAAACATTTATCAATATATATCTTTTCTAATACAGCTAAAAAGATATGCTCTGCGTCAAGCAAGGTTATGTTGTGTGGTTGGGCTTGGCTGTGTTTTTAGCTTTCCCTAAAAATGTTTTGGTATAAATTATTGTAACTTATTTTTAAAGCATATTCACACATAATTGTATCACACTAGAAAAATGAAGTTCTTAAATATATCTGCAGCATTAAATCATGTCTGCAATGTTTTCTACCCACCTCATAGACTGTGGAGATCATTTTGGCCCTCTACTGAAACTATACGTATGTACTGACAGTAGGATAGAAGCACAACTTGGTCTGGATGTTCCAGTATCTGCACATCATTGTCTATATCATAGACACTGCCTTTAAAAATTTAAACCACAACATTTTATGGTACTTCAAAAAATTAGGTAATCAGTTTATTCAAATAAAGGACTAGAAAAAAGAACTGAACACCATTAATTGTTGTATGTTTCTTTAAGAGAAAGATCAGTTTTATATTAATGATCACATTAGATTACTTAAGTATTACTAAAAGATATTCCATGGAGGAAAGAAACCAATAAAACACAAACAAACAAAACAGAAGAGGAATATTGTTGCTAAAATGATTTTAGATTATTAATTGTGGCATCCAATGCTTTATTTATTCTCAGTTACATTTTATTTCACTTGTTTCAATTTTAAAGCAATATCAAATCTGCTGGCTTTACCTGGCTTTTTCACATTAGCTTTTGGGCTGAGTTGTTGTGCCTTTAACTCATATTTCACAGTTCTGTTTCAGTGCCAATTTTAGGAGCTATAAATATTCATTTGCATTTACAAGTTGATGCAATTAATTATTTGTGCTTCGTTCTTTTTCTTCACTTCAAAGTTTGAAAGTCCGGCTTCTTGGGTGATCTCGAAAGCAAGAAGCATTAAAATATCTATCATTCCCTTTAGGGTTTTCCTGGAACTAGAGGAGAAAAGGTCAGTGTGACAATAAAATAATGTATCATTTAATATTGGGAAACAGTTATGTTAAAAAAAGTAACTGTAGAAATGAGATTGAATTTTGATGAAGTCTAAAGGAAACAAGTATAGACAAGAAGCACAGTCTTGTGGCTTGGGCTGGGATGTTGAAGAAGTGAGTTTTACACCATGTCTTCTTGTGGACGAGTTGTACAGTGAACCTCACTACAGATTCCTTGTTTGTAGAATGGGTATAATAATCCTTAATTTTTGATCTGGTTTAGTTAGGGATACATGTTTTGGCAAGGAGACAGTTTTTACTGTAAGACATTACTGTGGGACCTGAACTGGGGAATGAAGCCAACTGGAGGAAAAAAATCAAGTTTGGAAGTATTATGTCCAGGAAAGCATGTATTCAAAGAATTTCTTGGGAGAATGAATCCCTTTTTCTACAGGCCTTGCCCTTAATTCTGTTATAATATCAATAATGAGCTATATACCTTGCTCTGAAGACCTTACTATATTCTACTGACTTCAAATAAGACACTGTTATTTGAGAGATATTTTTTACTTCTTAATGGAATAGTAGTAATGAAGCTGTTGTCCCCCTGTTATGTCTTTCCAGGGATCCAGAGGTGACAGGGGTGACAAAGGAGTCAAAGGAGACCAGGTAATTTTCTTTTCCAGGTCGCTGTCATCTGTAACTGAATGTGCATGTGAAGAGCAATGTACTTCTGACAGCAAAAACCAGAAGTGGCATGGAGGAATGGAGCATGGAAGCATCCTCCTGGGAGGGCAGGAGTGCTGAGGGGAGGCAGTGGTCCCATCTGATGTGAAGGTGGTGGGACAGACTCCATGTCTATGTGTCCCCCAGCCCCAATGGCAAGGGGGTAAGTTGGTGAGTCAGAGGGGGATTTCCCTGGAGGTAACCTCAGTTTCTCCTGGCCTGTGCAGTTCAGAACTGGCAGCTTGCCAGAATGCTTTTAGCTGATGATATGATAATACGGGGAGAGGAAGAAAGGGGAGAGATTCATGTCTTGGTGGTTCTTGTAACTAAGAAAGGAAAAGTAAGCTGCTTTTGATGCAAATGGAGAAATGTCATTCCCAAAGGCAGGCTCCGAGAGTTGTCCAGGTAACAGGGCTGCCTGTAGACCAAAGCATGATTGGGATATTTTTGCCACAGAAGAGGAAGCAGAAAAGCAGAGAATCAGACAGAGGAGTAGCATTACCATACAAAGGGCTTTATTGTAAAAGTTTGCTTATAATTCTCCACCTACTGAATCACCTGCAGTGCTGAGTCAATGCGAGGTTTTTTAACTGATATCCATACATGACACTTGTTTTTCTTCCTTCCAAGGAAGGTGCTGCTTTGTCAAAGACCATTACACATTTTCTCATTATTTTTCTCCTTTGACTTCGTAGGGAGAAATAGGCTTCCCCGGAATGCTGGGACAAAAAGTAAGTGGGTGTGATGTGCTGGGGAGTTGTGTTAAATGCTAACACGAGGTCAATTAGTGACTTCAGGGACTTCCTGGAAAGGTCTTGCTTGACTCCATGACCAACACTGCTTGGACTTGATCAAATTCTGTAGGTTTTTTAGCTTAGAAGAAAACTCAGATTTAGCTGTTTGTTGGTTTTTCTCTTTTTTCTCCCAGATAATTTGTTCTGTTATAATCTTCCTCCTGTTTAACATATCCAAATACTTGATTATAGATTCATAACTGCTCTAATTGTTTGGGTTTTATTCACTTGAAGCTAGTAAATATTTCCTTCTTGATACTCTGAATTGAAGTGGCTCTACTATAAATAGCAGTGATAGCCCTGATAAGTTCTTATGTCATTGTTTTTCTGTTCTTGAAAAACAAACAAAATTAGGATGTTGGCTTATGGAAAACCTAAAGGAGGATATTTTTTTACATAATCACATGATATATCTGAAATTAAGATAAGAAGATAGCAGATGCTCCTAAGGAGGTTATGAGTGAATTCACCTCCCTTTCCCTGAGTGTCTTTATAACACATACATCTTAACAGCAAAGCAAGATTTTACCAAGGGATCTGACAGTTTTGCTAGCCTTGACTTTCCCAAGTATCTGAGCGTGTTTCTGATCTCTCCATTTGGCCTCCTCTTTATGAAAGGATTTTTCAGGGATATGTGGGTAAATTGTAAGAGATATTTTTTACTTTATGTTTGGTTTAAAATACTGTATTATCATTTTTGATTTTTAAGAAAGAAGGCATCTGATTATCTAGAGGAATTGTGTGAATGAGAGCAATGTCCACCTGTTGTCTTGTATAAGGCAGGTACAATCATGTACTTACATCTTGCTTCCTTCCCTCCATACCCATCAAGGGAGAGATGGGCCCAAAGGGACAGTCTGGAGTACCGGGACACAGAGGACCTATAGGAAGACCTGGAAAACGAGGCAAACAAGTAGGACCATGGTGTTTCCTCTTCCTGTGACTCATGGCGTCTGTGTGATTGTGACTATGACTGTGTGGTTTACGTTCTTTTACTGTGCACTGTATCACATGGAGAGCAGACAGAACCTCTAAAACACCTCACACGCAAACACAGGCTACACAAGAGCCTTAGGGCTAGAACCTTACCTATTCCCTGGCCACGCAGCATGGGAAATGTTTTATTTGTCCTGGCTTGGTAACACACTCATTTAATACAATTTGAGCAGACCTTGAACCCTTCCTTTGAATACTAAGCGACATGAAGCTGTGGTCCCAGACCCATTTGATGGCTAAAGAGCTCAAAATTATGCTGATAGAGCTACATTTTCAGACTTTCAGACAAATTGTAAAGAGTAGGAATCGTGTGTATATTGGATATTGATTCCTCCGTTATAGCATTTTCCAAGAAGCAGGTAACAATATTGGTATAGTTACCTGTTCAAGCCACCAAATGGGCCTCTCTGAGTGCACCTCACCTTTTGTATTTATTTTAAGCAGTGCTTTGGGGGCACAAAAATGACCAGTTCCTGGTGCTCTGAATTGTCACCTGCAGAGCCTGTTTCTTTCTGCCAACAGGGAAGGGAACCTGCCCTTGCTACACCGATGTGGGTGTCAATGTACAACTGCTCAGATACAGGAGCCAATGAGCTTACCTGAAAGTATTTTATTTGCAGTCTGATTATGGCCAACACTGCAGTCTGGTTAGGCCCAACACTGCAAAGAGAGGTACATACCTTCTTCACTGTAGTGAAGGTAGTATCTGAAGTCATAGAATAGCCAGTTGGGGGAAAAAATAAAAGTTGGGTGTTAAAGAGGGAATAACAGGTTCCCAAGTAAGGAAGGTAAGTATCGTGTAAGTCTGCTAGATGACCCACAAGAAATATTTTTTTGTCCTAGATTTGTCATGCTTTAAAAGTTGATGTGTGACCTTTGCTGGAATTTTTTGGTTTTGCCTTTTTTTTTTGTTTTTGTTAGCTCTGTTCATCTGTTCTGCTAAAGTACTATGCACATAATATCTTTCCACAGCACGAGGCTAAGGGAAGATGCAGTGCATCCAGATCAACTTGAACACAGCGCACTCCTTACTTGACCTTAGATATTTTGTCACATTACACAATGCCTTAATCAAAAAGTGGTGACATAAGGTGTATCATAATTTAAGGAAACTATCAGTGTGACTAAAAGAAGTCTAGTCTGTCCCCAAACTGGCATTTCCTGTCCCAAGGCTCAGTACACAAATCCCTTTCAGCATTGATCTTCTGCATGAAAAGCAGCTTTCCCTCTGGATAAATCAGTGAGCTAGCGATTTCCTTTCTTCTTTTCTAATCCTTTGAAAAAAATAGAGAGTGGCACTTTAAGGCTCTATGGGTCTGGCTGCCACGTTTAAGTGCTGTAGTTGTTTGTTCAGCTGAGAGGAGAGTTTCCATCAACATGGGGTCATTTCCTGTCTCTTGATCCCGCTGACATGGCTAGATGAAAGCAGCTAAATTAGGAAGGTGTCACTTCCACTTCCATTTTGAGATACTTCTTGATTAGCTCACTGACTTCTTCAACTCTTCCCTGCCTCTGGGCCAGGTTCTTCCTAAAACTTGTCCAGGAAGTGGGAGTCATAAGTCACAGCCTCACTGCTGCTAAGTGAGACATAACATCCAAAGCTTTGTAGCTTGGGAATTCACCCTAAGGACCAAGTTTAGGGCTTCAGTCTTGATAAGGAGGAATGACTTAGGGCTTTAGATAATGTTACTTTGAAAGAGAAGAGAGGAATATAAATATTGTCAATGGGAAAAGCTTATCTGAAAGCCATGGGCACATTTGAAAAAAAAACAAGGCAAAAGCATTTAATATGAACCTCTGCCATTATTATTTAATCTGTCTGTGCTAAGCAGGAAAGCATTAAGCAATCATTCCTCCAAAGCAGGAGACCTAGAAAACAACTCATTTTCAGGCAGCACACATCCGACTGGCGCTGGCTGGCCTCTGCCAAATTGCTGTTGTGTGGGGGAAAGAGATTTCCCACAGTCTTCTTTGGGGCTACAAAACCCTGGTCTGCTAGTTCTGTGTTGTGTAATGTAAGAAGTAATTAGAGATCAGCATCGCTGACATTCGCATAAATCCTGGAATATTTTGATGGCACAGAGCTTACCTAATAGGATTAAACAAAGCAAATATTCAATTAGTTCTTTATGGGCCACGGCAAAATCAGCCTTCCCCTGCTGAAATGGTGCAAGTGACATTCAAACGTATACATGGGATATATATATACATATTATATATTACCATATATGCTTTGTTACTCTTAAATTAAACATACAACTGCTCATCATATGCCTCTGAATGCACATTAACCTGGAATGGCACCATCTTCAAGGAAATAATATCCTTTGTCACTAAAAGAAAGCTTACACATTACACATTATTTTTATTATGCTAAATAATGTATGCTGTTACATAAAAATCAACTCAGATATTTTAACTTCAAGCAATGTAATACATTTCTGGAATGAGAAATCCAAGCCTTTGGGAGTATATAGGCAGGAAGATAAATGTAGTTATTTTTAATAAATGTCACCGTATTAAATTCAGGAGCAAAAAATAGGAAGGTGTTGAACAGTTCTATGGTGAAACTTCCAAATGCCTAAGGGTATGATTGCACAAATAAACTCCCATGAGGCAGATCAGGGCTGATTTTACAGAATATTAGCTACTGCATGGTAACTGTGTATAAACTCTTCTACCACAGGTAATTTTACAGTATTTTGACTGCTTGGAAGGGTACCAGGGGGACACCATTTGTCGGTATGGTGTTGCTACACACTATCTTGCACATTATAAAGTCAATCCCTTGCTTGCCTCCTGATGATTCGTTAACACAGCTATAGCCATAGTGAAAGTCAAGGAAATATAGGAATCCAGGCATCTAAATTACTTCTGAAAATAGTGTGGGCTTCAAAGTCATTACTGTGCTTCTGAAAGACTGCATCCTGAGACTGGGAAATGTCACTGTGGCAACCTGACAACTCCTTAGTGATTTTCCTCTTTCTTTCTCAGCTGCACTGATTCCTAGAGAGCTACCAGGGATAAAAAGGCATCCTTAAAGAAGTGCTATCAAAGGGTTGAATTCAGATCAGGGAGATTCCTGACTCGTCACAGAATGGATCCCTGTGACCATTCATATTTAGGAGCAGGAATCCTGTCTGGGTGTGCCTTTCTGTCTCCATGTAGGAGGGTAGAGCACATCTTCCCAGGTGCTCATGCTGCATGCTTCTGTTGGCAAATGTCTTGGCTTTCTTGAAAGGGAAGACAATGCTGGAAGAGGTTGTGTGCTACTAATACTTTAGCAAATAAATGGATGTCTCCTCTCTTCTAGGGATTAAAGGGAGACATTGGACCTGCAGGTGTCATGGGTCCACCTGGAAGGCCGGGTCCTGTTGGCCAGCCAGGCCCTCCTGGACCTTCAGGATTAGGTAAGCAGAAGATGAGGTGATCTCCTAAAGGGTGTCCCTGGCACATCAGCCCCTCCTGACACATCACATACACATAGACCCCTCTGCAAAAAGTGCTGCAGGGCTTGATTGGCTTCTCCATCAATGGCAAGGAGGGGATTTCTCCTGAAGGTCTTGTCCATTATAATGAATCTATACCTTATTTTAAAGCTTACTTTATGGCTTCTGATGTTTCAAATAAAACAAAAATTAAAGACTATGTGGTTCTTGTGGGACTTTGGTAAATGAGGAGGCAGCCTTGGAGAGAATAGGTAATCTCCATCATAAAAGGTCTGCTCCTTCTCCAGATATCCTAGCTTACAGTGAAAGATTGTGATTTCTGATGAGCCAGGACATACTCACCCTGTGCAGCTCTGTAAAAGGAAAACAGATAAGACCCAAGTCACAGTGGCATAAAGGAAAGAAGAAAAGAGAAGAGAAAGGGATAGGAGTCAAAGAGGAAAAAAGGACAATGGGAAAAAACTGTCTTTAATTAAATGCTGGAGGTCTGTGTTCACTGCAATTGTGCATGTTGTAGAAATCATGAGAAAAACTGTGTAACTGATAATAGTACAGATTAAAGCTGTGCATGCACATGAACTCTGGGCATGTTGTGAGACCACGCACAGGCATGAAGGACAATCCATGACCCACAGTGTATAGTGACAGTGAACCCTCAGGTATATTTTCACCCCAGATATACACTCAAATATCTGAAAAGAAAAGCAAACCCAGTTGGAAACTACTGTTGCTTCAAATGTACAACAGCTGTTTGTAGCGCAGCTGATCTGTTCAATGTTCCCTTCCATTTTGCTTTTTTCCCTTTTCATTCCCTTGCTTTCATCAGTGGACAGGATGTTTCTTGTGGTGGTGTGGAAATGGTAATTCCACAAAGCTGGGAGCAGCTTCAGAGTCTTCATATATCTCATGTCTCCCACTATGAAACATCCTTGCTTGAGTAAATTAGCTGGGAGTTTTCACCATGCTGATGGGAAGGCAGCCAGGACCTTGAGATTACTTTTTAAAGACTTAATTCAACCTACAGAAAGTTTATGTGTCAGGCTTGTTAATCTTTTTCCTCTAGAATATAAATTCTGATACTAAAAGACATTTATGTAATGATGTCACTGTCTGCAGTATGAATATATTGGCTCTTAGTCTAATTTTGTAGAACAGTGCATCCTTGCCAAAGTTTGAAAGTCAAAAAACATTTTTAATGTTTAATTGTAGAACTTCTGTATTTCTAGATGGGTTTTCCTGTACAGAAACCTCTGTAACAGCATTTCTCAAGTGGCTGTACAAATACACAGGTCCAAAGGGTTGTAGGTGTATACAGAGACTGACTCTACAAAACTTGGTGCACAGACACTGTAATCTGTGCCTTCATCCGGTCCTGAATTTCTGTAGTTTTAAACAGGTTGACATTTATTCTTGACAAATGTTCTCTCTCTTCTTCTCTAAAACTGGTAGAAAAATTTAAAAGGCTGAGATAATCTGAAATAAAATGACTGTGGTACAAACTGGGATATTTTTCCTGAAGTACTGGAATTAGTGGTTCTGGTAATCCCTCCCCTCAGTTCCCACTGGATTTGGTGGGGCATGTGCATATATGAAAACTTGGTAATTTTATATATCCACCTGACCTGTACTTTTCTCATTAAGGCTGTGTTTGTGTTTTGTGTATTAACTTCATAACAAGACAACCTGGTACTTTGCTTCCTAGGGCAATTCGCAATAGGACCAAAGGGGGAAAGAGGACTTCCAGGGCCCCCAGGGAGATGTCTCTGCAGAAACCCACAACATATGAGTAACCCATCATATGAGGAATCTGTGTTTGGACACAGCTATCCAAAAGTTCCTGCGGTAAGCAGATCTTCTGGGAGGGGATGTGAGTGGTCCTTAAGTGCTTTTATTGTAAGAGGTCATGTACTCACTAATATCTTGGGTTTAACATGGAAGATGTCTGTATGTGGGAAATGTGTGATTTCTAGTATACAAAACCTCTGAGATCCAGCTGGTGCAAAAGACTTTGGTCTCATAACTGGTCTGAGGGTTGTATGATTCATGTGCTGAAATGCAGCTGTTTCAAACCATCAGTAAGGTAGCACATGTTTAGAAATCCCTTTCAAGCCTGAGGATTCTCTCTTTCATCTAGTACTGTACATATATAATCTGCTATTTTTACTTCATTAATTTTTTTATTTTATTTTTATTTCATTAAATCGAAATTTCAAGATTGGTCAGTTTCTTGTTTATTAGTTTGTTTGTTTTAATATCTTCTTCTACAAAGAAGGTGATTTCAGAATTGAATATTGGGGTCAAGTAGTGAGCATATACAATAGAACTTTCTACCAAAGTATAGACTGTCTACCTTGAAACAAAAGGAATTTCCACAAACCACGGGAATCAGATTTCTGAACTCCTGTCTGTAGACATACACTTTATGTAGCTAATTTCCATCTCTAGCTGTGAAAACATTTTTATGAGCAAGTTGGACAAAATACTTTAAAGAACAAGGCATTGGTGAAAAGTGAAATCTCTGATTTCTCTGGGCTTTGTAAATACTATTTATGTAATTTTCCTTCATCTAGGCCCTGCCTTATTATTCTGTGCATTGTAGCACTTAGACAGCAATGAAGATGTTACCTTGCTGCTGTGTATCAGCATAGCCCAGCCACTCCACTCCTGCAAGTGGAAATTGTGCAGTGTCTGGTTGTCTATGAATGTCAATAAGCAGCAGTTAGCTTAGTTAACATCTCCATTCACGTTATCAGAAAGCTGTTACAGTGTGTGAAAGGGACATACTAGCAACACTGTCCATTAAACTGGGTCATTGAAGTCAGTCTTTGCACGACTGCATTGCAAGTCTTGCAATCTGCTCCCACCCTTGGCAGTGTTGCATTAGAAACTGCTGAAATAAAGGTGCATACCACATCACACTGCGAGAACTCATAGGAAAAGGTATAAGGCTCACAATATTATTTGTAGGTCTCACTACCCTCCTTCTCCTTCAGGCACGGTTTCATACTAGATCTTAAAAGATAGTAAAGAGAGTGTAACTACCTAAAATAAAAGTACCATAAGCTACTGCTATGAGCCCTCATATGATGATGATTGAATGCTATTTTGTTCTCAGGAATGTGGGATGGCAAAGAGGCAAGGCCTAGCTCTGGAGGTGGAGCACTTGCAGAGCAGTGTTCCCTCTTCTCCTGCCCACCCTATTTGTTTTACTTCCTCGAGTGTAAAGAGTAGGAACTTAAACATCACTATTGTTTATTCTGTTCACATCCCCACGTAGCAGCTTTGAAGCCTGTCTTGTACCACTTGAAAACTATTGTCAAGTGGTATTGTCAGGATTTCCATAGCTGAACATGAAAAAGACAGAGAGATGGTGCTCTGTGCCCCAATCCCTGCGTCCCAGAGTTTGCCAAAGCAGCATCCAGCTGCAGCACACCCTTGGTGCCATCACCTACGCACCCGCCAGCTCCTCCAATGCCAGCACTGCCAGAGGAGCACAGAGACTGAGAAACACAGTGCTGTTTTTCCATCACTGGCTAAGGTGCATTCTGTTGTTTAAACCTTTTGCAATTTCAAAGGGCAGTAACTGTAATAGAGAGTTTCAGAGAGCACAGATCTGCTATTGATTTCAAGAGAAATGGAAGCTCTGGGGCTGGGCCGTGAGCTCCTGAACGCAATTACAGAATCATTTCTTTGCTGACTTCCTATTTCTTTGCTTTCTTTCATTCAAGCTGAAGGCATTTTTATTCAATGCTTATTTAATGAAATTGGCCTTTGTCCAGAGCTATGGAATTATTCTGTTATGTAAAAATTTCAGAGTAATTTGTTTTTAAAAGAGCCAGTTCTGTTTATGCTGGTGGGAGTCAGACTCAACCCTAAATCCATTTTGCTCAAAAGCATTCTTGCTTTTTCTTAATTTAAAAATGGTTTGAATCTTGCAAAAATTAAATTGATTAAGCTGCTTTGGAAGAGAAGCAGCTTCCTTCTCTAAGGAAGAGACTGTGTTCTAATGCCTCTTACATCCAATTTCACATGAGACATTAAAAAATGGGTAGAGAGTAGCTTGTCCTGATTTTTCCATTTTGAACTAATTTTTTTCGGTTTAATTGAAGACTTCACTCTAGAAAAAAATATATGCTATAAAGAAACATGCATTTTAATGCAAATTAAATCTAAACAAAGTAGCAAAAGATAAGTGAAGGTTGTCTTGAGCCATGTATCATTTAATTTGTAGTGAGCATGTCTTAAACAGTTGTAGATAAACCCACAAAAAGCACTTGTGCCCATATGGATTTTGCAATTGTTCCAGCATCAAACCATTTGAGCACCTGACAGTTCTCCTCAGCAATGACTGTGCACAGGTATTTGAATGATCCTTATCTGTGGATATTCATTTTGAAATTGGGGCCACTGGAGTCATAGCTGGGTGCTCAAAGAAGACCATTCTCCTTTCGAAACTTGGATCCCTTCTTACCAGGAGCCTCTTGTGGTCTGGTAGTCCATGGGTGTAAGTTCTCACACCATCCTGTTTCAGAAGACAATCAAACCATTTTTCTGTGTAATTATTTACCTATTTGCAGATTCATATGCCAGTTGACAAAACTCAGTTCTGTGACAATCAAAAAAACTTCTTGAGAGGGTTACCAATCACCTCTTTTTCTGTGTCCCAGATTTTTGTGGTGAATAATCAAGAAGAATTGGACCGATTAAACACTGAAAATGCCTTAGCTTTTAGAAGAGATCAGAGATCTTTGTATTTCAAGGATACCTTTGGATGGCTCCCAGTCCAGGTGAAAATATGGTCTCAGAAAACTCGTGAGTGTATATTTCATTTTGAAATACAGAACATACTTCTGTACTCAAGGTGTCATACAAAATCAATTAAAGAAATTGAGAAAAAGCTCATTTTTCAGCAGTGCCACAAATGTACATAATTCTGTGAATTTTGTTCACAGGAATCTTAAAAACTGAGGCATTAACTCAGCACTCTTGCAGGTTTTGCTGACCTCTCTTTGAACCAGGTTCCACTGGTGAACAAACTGGGGCAGAGTTTGGGGAATTAAGGTAGTAAAGACAATTTTTTATTTAATACAAAATAAGGTAAAATTCACTAGGGTACAAAGAACATAAACCCTGCAAACCAAACCCACATATTTCCTTGTTGCTTCAAGGAGCTAAGCTAAGTCCCACTGAAATCAGCAGCAGGATCCTTCCTGTATCCACTGGACTTTGAATCAGATTCTGTATAAACTCTGTGAACCACCAACTAGCAGGATACGAAAACCCAGTTGTGGGATCTGCCTCCCATAGCCCTTCAACTCTGCTTGCTAGCCAGGCTGCTCCTGGTCTGATTCAGTAACCACTGTGTGTTTGTTTGGTCAGCTCACCCCTTTCTATCCTGTGGATTACCGCTTTGAGGACAGTGGTACCTGTGGAGATGGGATCGTACAGGACGGGGAAGAGTGTGACGATGGCAATGCAGTTGTGACCGATGACTGTATAAGTAAGTTACAGTGCATCAAGAGAGGCTTCTTTCTACAAGGGAAGGTGCATTAGTTGTTCCTACAGGGTTCTGTGTAAATGACACAAGCATTTCACTCAGGAGAGCTTGTGTGGTTTGTGAATCAAGCACTGGCACAGGGAAAGGGGGGCACAATGGCCACAGTGTGAAAACTGAGGTCTTTCATGTATGTGGATGGGACACACCAGCACAAGACAGAGATGGCAACAGGTACTTCTCACACATCCTCACAGAGGACTGTGTACCTTACTGAGCAGAGGTATCTGCAGTCAGAGCAAAACCACTGCATTTCAGGGGCCAAATTCAGCAGCTGGTTTACATACACACTTTCCCCAGGGACTGCCAGCTCTCTGTCTAAAAGATGTAGCATACCTTTGCAGTGCACCACAACCCTTGGGATAGACACTGAAGCCGGCTGTGTCTTATAGTAAACTAGATCCTGGGTCTAGAAACACTGCTTTGGACCTTGTTATTCACTTGCATGGGGAACATGTTAGCCCACTACCTTCACCATTAGGTTTATACAACATTTAATTCTTGTCTACTCAATCTTCCTTCTATTTTGCTGGGTTTGGATAGCAAAGAGCATATAAGCATTCAAGCAGCTGTGGTAACCTTCTCCCTCTCAGTTACTCTTATGGCTTGAATCCTTCCCCAGAGCACAGCACTACACCTTCCCCACATAGCAGGTTTGGTACTCTTCTGATTCTAGCAAAGGGATGCTTCTTCACATGTCAGAACAGTATCAGCCAACATTGAAAGATGCTGGTTTTTATTTATATATCCCTCCATTTTTTAGCCTGACTTTGAAAATGGAGTGTGTGCAGCCATGCTCTGTGTGAGTTTCTCCATCCACCTGTCCATCACCACCCTCCCCCTTATAACTCAAGAATCCCAGCCAACTTCTCAGTGACAACAGGAGTGAGATTTCAAATGCAGTTCAGTCACAACAGGCATGGGGAGACATATAAATAAAAGCTCCTCTAAGTTTGCCTGACTGCAGAGCAATACAGAGAGAGGGAGAGTAGGATCTGTCCAGTCTCCAGATATGAGAAAATGATTCAATTAGAATTTGCAGTCAACTGTGGGGAACAACCATGTGGGAAAATAGTGCTCATTAGTTCTAGTGCCTGCAAAATTGTATATTGTGTGTCTGAGAGCACATTGTGTTCTCTGTGCTACGTGCTGGGCAATTGAGGCCTTGCAATACATAGGTTTCTGACACTGATGTGACCCAAAGAGTAATCATTAAGTCACTTGGAAATGAGCACATTGACATCATTCTTCTCTTGGGACTGAACCAAAAGAAAAAAGCTAACCAAATGTTAAGTGCATTTAATTGTAAAATAGGCTGTCGGTCTTAGAAGCATTAATTTCTAACAAACACATCCTTGGTGCAAATAATTAATCATTTCTATTTGTAAATAACCCACTTTAACTCTCATAAATTCCCTATTCCTGAGTGTCCTTTCAATCCTTTGCTTAATAGCGATGGATTTTCCCAGAAGATGTCAAAGGCATTTTAACTAAATGAGTTTGTTCAAGTTATAAAGTCATTCTCAATATGCCAAAGACATCAAAAGCAAAGCCCTATTGCTAAAATGGCAAAAACTCCCAAAAATTAGTGCAGCCTACATGTCAGCCACCATGAAAAAATGTCACAAGTCTGACTCACATTCAGTAGGAGTCAACAGAGGGAAAACCACATTTTTACTGATCATTACATACATTACATACATTTTTTTTTTATAGACAGGCAATAGGTCTGCATAATTCTGTTCACGGTGGGAACTCACAGTAGACATATATAGATATTGTGCAATATTGGGGAAAGGTCTGGGACGGGATTTTCAAACTACTTAATGACCTCAGAGTATTTTTTTTTTGAGATTGGGACCCCCTCCAGGTCATTTATGTTAACTGTGTTTGATGTTTCCCTTAACTTGTTTTGATAGTAATTATCTAAGGCAATAATAAGTTTTAAAATAAATGCTGTTGTAATTGGTGATTCTTTAGTAATTATTTTTAGTATTTATTCATTCTTTCTCTTGGTCATTGAAGTTAGGCTAAAAAAAGCTCATTCTTTGTAGTGAAGAATATTGCTTCTCCTAAGAAAGTCCTTACAGGACTTGTTTAATACTTAACTCTTAAAAATCTAGTTCCACTTACTTTACCTGTTCCTTTTACATATGAAGAGCCTTGAAGGTGTTTCTTTCTTTGTTTTTCACTAGGATGCCGCCGTGCTTACTGTGGAGATGGCTACAGGCATGAGGGGGTTGAAGACTGTGATGGGAAGGATTTTGGATATTTGACATGTAGAACATATCTCCCTGGGTATGTATGAGAGGGTCTTAGCTTTGATTTGGGGTTTTTCTTGGTTAGTTGTTTGGTTAGTTGGCGGTTTCTTTGTGTTTGGTTTTTTGGTTTGGTTTTTGCGTGTTTTTTCTTTCTTTTTTCTCTTTGCTAGCTTTAAAACAGAGTAGTATCACCCACTTAAACCTTGTTCTACTGGGACCACTACAGGCAGGGGGAGAAGAAAGAGTCTATCAAATTATTTCTGCATATCATTGACTTTAAGGGCTAAATCTCATTTCTCAGTAATAAGCATATGCTTCTTACTGTACAAAATGAACGAAGATCACATAGACATATATATGCCCATTTCTTGCCAAGATTTCCTAATTTGGTCACATCATCATTGCATTAACGACCACCGATGACATAGCAAGAATAGGAAAAACCATGAGGAGGAGATGATCACAGTGAAAGAAAAAAAAGACCCAAACCCACATGCTCCAACGGACCCCCCTCTGCCTTTTTCGTTAATTAGTGCTCTAGAGGTATCTTTGCTTCTGAATCCACTGGGCATCTGTCAGCTTTTCCAAAGAGCAGGAAACTCACTGCCGACAGATGCAAAGCCGTGCGTCTGCTTAGCAATGTCCTTCATTTAAAACATCTGCTTATTGTTGACTTGCCTTCTCTGCCTCTGTTTAAGCAGCTTCCTCTGGTCAGGTTTTTTCCTCCAAACAGCAGTACCTCTATTTAACTGTCAGGTATTGTTACTGGCTAACAGGAAACAATTAATTTGCAAATTAAATTATGAACAGAGCCCTCATCACTCAGGGAACAATGATGTGCTAATTGACAGGAATAAGAAACCACAGGATGTCTTTGTAAATCAAGTGCTGTGCTAATCCTTCCACTGTAATTGTTGGAGCACTCCCGGTGTAAAAGATTACTAAAATCCAGACGAATAGACCTGCAAACCTGAAACATTTTACAGAGATATCATCTTCAGACCGTGTGGAGCTGTTTTCTACTGCAAAAACCTTCCCTTCTAAAAGTCTGAAGTTTGGGGCAAAAGATAGCACCACAAAAGCTTGAGAAAATTTTATAAATTTCACTTTGCATATATCCAAGTTGTGAAGAGCAACTGAGGTTCTTTATTTTTTTTTTGTGTGTAGCCTGAAAATCATCTCCCAAACTAAAGAAAAAGCTGTGAATCATGAGTAAAGTGGGCTGAGTATATGAGCATGGCACTCACATGGGAGTTTCATCCCAAAGCAACCTTTCCTCCAAGAACTCTGCTGCAACAGATTTTTCCATTTTCTACTCTTTCCAGCCCACAAACTCCTCCTCCTATTTCACACATCTTCACTTTATATTTTACGTTTGTCTGAGAATATGGGCTATCCAAGGACATAGTTTTAAGGCTGCTTAGTCCACATCTTGGTGCCGTGGATGGGTTATTCACTTAGACATATGTCAGCAATAAAAACTCATTAAAATGCTTATTAACGTCTCTGGTCAGGTCTTCAGTGGGTACTCTGAACTGCCGTTCAGTTTAAGTCAGTAGAGAAACAAAAATCTCTGGTTTTCCTTACTTTGCAAGGACCCCTCCATTTACTTTTTTATTTTATTTTATTTCAAAGGTGGGAATGTGTCACTCTCATTATCTCAAGTACATGAAAAATAAGTGAAAGGACAGGCACAGTAACACCTGCTGAAGCTATTGGGAGTAACTGGAAAAACACTTATCTCAGAGCCTCAGATATTTCATTACACAGTTCCCGTGGGCACCAAGGCCTTCTGCATCCACTCCCACGTAATGTTCAAGTCCTGCTGTCAATGGGGATTTTATTTTTTTAATTGACATTACTGGAAGTTAAGCCTTCACTCGCGGTTTCTCCTGGACTCTTATTTTGCTGACAAAGGAGAACACAGTGGAGCATGATAGAAATTACCCTCCTTTTTTGATTCCCATATGTTGCTGCATATGACATGTTCTGATGTTCTTCACTCCTACAGATAGCTACATCCAGAAACCATATAATGTGAACTGTAGCATATTTTGAAACTGAGATATTCTCTTTTATTTTAGGTCTTATGGAAAATTGCGATGCACTTCTTATTGCTACATTGACTCCACACAGTGTCGATACTTCACATGAAGGAGCGTATGTGGGTAGCATCCCACTTGTAGCAGGGTGGTAGGTGCTACACTATCATCTAACCGAGAAGGACTGGGACTAAAAAACACCCCACCCACCTCTGTGTGAAAACAAATAGACGTCATGCTGCTGATGGCCATTTGGAGATATTTTTCTTTTTTAAAAATCGTCAGATTGGGAAAAAATAGGACCACTGCATCCTGTCTTAATAGAAAAATGTCAAACAGTGTGTGCCAGTAAGACTTTTATGCAGCTGTGGATGGTAACTTGCTCTCCATCACAAAGCAACATTAAGCTACTGGAAACTGAGTTTCATCAACCAGGAATATTGTGTAACAATTACCTCTAGTCAGCACTGTTAAACCCAGATATAGGCTCTTCAGAGGTTTTGTCTTTAACCCTTCCCAGCATAAACACGAAGCATATCTTGAATGTGGTGTTTATAGGGACTTTCTCTTTTATTACAATGTGAACTTTGCAAATGTTGTATCACCAATGACTTCAGCGACATTAAGCTTAACAATACTCCTTTCAAGGGTGAAAGGAGTAGAGGCCCTTCAGTAAGTGATTTCAGAATCAACAAATCAGCCAAAAAAGCTGGTTAACTTCACCTTCAGGCGAAGACATTTGTCCGTAACTGTCTCGTGTGCATGCATGGAAATGCAAGCAGTCACAGGAGGCCTGCAAACCACAACAAAGGACAAACTGCACAAATAAACTGTGAAATAGCCAAGAAGTTCTCTCCCAGGATAAAATCAGACAAGGAGGGAAGATAAAGAAGGAACCTATTACCGTATGTTTTACCTCTGTGTGGAGCTGGCTGGGCACTGCCTGACCCCAAGGGGCTGCGACAGCATTGGTGACCTGCCTGAAATCACAGCATGACCATATGCACATTACTTTCACTCTGGTGTCTACACTGGAGGGTCTCTTCATTTTTATCCCCTTGTCCACCTGACCATCATCATTCAACTACCAGTTATACACTGTCCTCTCCCCTTCTCCACTCGCTGTTTCCACTATTGTGTCTGGGATACTCCCAGTGTACGTGCTCACTTTTGTATTGCTGTAAATCAAATCTTGGAGTAGCGTGTTTATGGATGCTCATTCATGCTGTGCAATGTACATGTTTTTTGGTTTGTTTGTTTGTTTGTTTGTTTGTTTTTCCAGAAAGTTCACTCAACTATATTAGCTCTGATAGAAATCAGGGTAATTATATACTTATTTACTAGCAAGTATTAAAGAGCATATTTCACATGGGGAAGCCTATTAAATGTTACGTGAAAAAGTGTCTATAACAGCAAATGAAACAAAGGATGTGCAGAATTCAGGACTAAAAGCCTTAAATCTAGGCATTATTTTCATACAAGCCACTCTTTTCTGCTTTGTGGTAAATCTTGCTCAGGACTCTGTGAAATGTGTGACTTATCTGTACCAGTGAAAGCACTGCAACAGCTGCACTTACACTGGCATTTCCATAAAGGTTAAGTAAATGTGGATGTTGCTTTATAATGATAATGCATTAATGTAATCAAGAAATGCATGCAACTTTTACCACCTACCTAAAAGACTTTAGCTATGGATTTCCAAAATTATACTGAAAACCACCAATCATTGGTAAAAAAAAGAAAGAAAATTAGTATACTCTTCATAACTATCACTTACCTGGGCTATTTGTGTCACTATGAAGCCAAGCCACCAGCATTTGTAGCCCAGTTCAATAGCTCAAAATTTTATTTTATTTTATTTTTTTTTTCTTTTAACTGAGGTCTTAATAAAAGGTCAAGGAACCACTGGGGCAAGAAACTTGCCACAAACTCTGAAAATCTGGGCACTAGCACAGCTGCCTTTTAATTTCTTGAGCTTGTGGAAGCAGCGGGTTCCAGCAACATCCTGCCACACAGGAGCATACGCTGAGAGGTTCCCTTGATTGCTGGCCAGCCCCCAGGGATCTGCTAGGTGTTACCATCCTGGGCTTGGAGACACTTCATCTGAACTCCTCACCTTCTCCAAGGAGTTCATCTCTACTCCCCAGAAGGCTGGAGTCTCTGAGAAATTTGGTAATCCCACTGGCCTTTCAGTTTCAAGTTCAATCATTTTTAATTAAAAGCTCCCTACCTCCAAAGGGCATTAAAGTAACAGAGCTAAGATTGTAGAATATGTAAACAGGAGATGTGATTGCCTAGGTAAAACCGTACTGTGATGCACATGCTCAGGAAAGGGCCTATTAGTCTGGTCAGTCTGAGAAGATTTGTAAGGCATGGATTTTAAATGGACTTTATTAATACAACACAAACAATTTGGTATCTTAACAGAAAGAAAGCAATGTAAAATGTAAGGAAACAAAAAAAAACCGCTTCATACTATGTTACTGCCTTATTCCCCTCAGATGATAAAGCATGATAAAGACACCTGGGAAGGTGTTAAGTATATATGATTTAAAAGGCTGCAAAAGAAATCCTTCATCCTTATTTCTGACATATCTGATTTATCATTATTGAGGATTCTTCAGCTGGGTGGTGCCCTGGTCTGCTGCGAGTTGTCTTCCCTCCTTCTCTGAGTTTCTTTACACATTGTGCCAAGACAGGTTCAAAAGTTAATTGGGATATTTCAGTTCCAAGGCCTTGTGTAGCAGCAAATTGCTTGTGGGAGAGTTTTCTAATGATTAGTATGCAACTCTAGGCAAGTACAAAACCATTAGGATCTTATGTCATGCACTGTATTAATGTATACCAAAAATCCAGCTTGCACTTAATATATGATTAAACATATGTAATTACCTACTGCGTATATTAGCAGCTCATGTCAATAAATCATGCTACCTTAGTTCCCCTATCTCCTTACTTTCACTTACTTAATTTTGGGTTTAAAACCACAGTTTTTAAATATAATTATCTAGTTATAGATATAAGATGCTGGGGAGGGAAAAACCCCAATACCTCCTTTTCCATGCCAGCTGCCTCTCCCTGCCTGCTGTTGGATCCAGCTCTGTGCAGGCACACTGATGTGCATCACAGTCTGGGATGTGTGCATTCCTGCTCCTGGGCTTGCTGCTGCCTCAGCCCCAAACTGACCTATGCAACACACCATGAGCAGAGCAGCTCCCCTTTCATTGATTTCTGATTGGAATCTGTAATGTACTGGTTTTTAATAAGGCTTTGGGCTGTAGTTTGGGGGATTATCTCCTCCTGCTACCTGATAATGTACTGGTTGCTTTGTAACTCCTACCAGAGGCTGAGTTGATAGCTGCCAATCAGAAAGCAGCAGCACAGTATGCTGATGGACAATGGGAATGCTGATGTTGGCACTTAGGGTTCAGACACTTGCAGCAGCTGGCACCCAGGCTTCGGGAAGAGGGTACTGCCTTGCTGTAGCAGCTTGCAAATCTGTTGGACCAAGGCTTTTTTGTATAACAGGGCATCCTAGAAAAGGGCAGTGCTGCCTGTCCCCAGGGAAAATGGAAGTGTATTGACAGACAGAGAATGAATGAGTCTTTGGAGTGGTATATTTTCTGCCTGTCCTTTCTAAAAGCTTGGCTTCCGTGACACTCACCTCTCTGCTTCCCAAATGCCCATGTCATTTCTTTCTTCACTTCAAATAATTAAAAATTGTAGCTGTCAATGCTATCCTTGCCCTTAAATCTGACCATGCACCTCATCTCCTCCTTTCTTTCTTCTTATGGTTTCCTTTAATGGCACCTTTGTAGCTTCTCCAAAACTCTGCAATGCCCTTGCTGCTCTGCAGGCTCTGGGTTTCGTCAGCTGCTCTTTCAGCCTCAAACTTCATCCCTTTTCTAACATCTTCTGCTTGTTACAGCCCTGTAAATGTTGCAGCAAAGCCCCTTGTTCACAGTTCTTACCTTCTAAAAATTGCATGGTGCAAATACTTCAGTCCCACTGATTTGGACAAAGGGAGAGGGGATTGGTGGTTATCCTTAAAGTGGGAGTCCCCCAGAATAGTCACTGTCCTTGAGCACCAGCTGTTTATGAGGAATAATAGCAATAAGTCCCCAGCTAACTGCTTTTGGGGACAGTTCAACAGCTTTGACACTTGGCTGCCACATACAATCAGGAGATGTATTAAATAAAGATGACCAAAATTAACCCAAGAGAAGTAAACCAGTGCTGTTCTGTGATTCTTTAATGATATTCGAGTGTATCATGCACAATGCTGCAAGGAGATCTTTGAAGAGCTGTTGAAAAAATCATGTTTTAATTCACAAAGGGTGAGGCAAGAGAGACCACTTTCTGACATACTTTCAATTTCTTCCTCTGATAGTTTTTGCCTAAGGAGATGGATATGGCAGGGCAAGTGTCTCTTCCCTGGAAACCATTCCCTTTCAAGGAAAGCATAGAGTAATGGGCTAACAAACTCTGCTACCAGCAGCATAAGGTGCTGGCAAAAAGACAACTAAAGCAGGCAACTGGTGAAATTAAAATTTGGATCAGGAATTTGGATCAGAGTAACTGTTGCTTATTAATCTGGTAAGGGACCATGCAACTTGCAGACCATCAGAGCACCGCCAAACCTTAACAAAAGACAAAAAAGGAACAAAGCCTGAGCAAAGGACCATTTGTGTCTTTATTGAACATAGTCAGTGAACACCCCCCAAACCCTCCTCCCCCCCCCCCCCTCCGCCGATTTATGTTCCAGTTACATGCCCAGCAATGTGCTGTGCTGAAAGCTGGTGTCACTCCAGGGCTGAAAAGGCCAGAGCAAAGCCTGGGCACATGTTTTCATTGCATCAGTAATTACTGGGGCATTTAAGAGGATGGCCCTGAACCAGGCCAGCTAAGGAAAGGCTGCATTTGAAAGGGTGGCCAGGCCAAATTATATTAGAGGAGTGTATTCTTGCTGGAAATTACATTAGTGGCTACTTCCCTCCCTCCACTCCCAACAAAATCTTGGCACTTAAAAGGCACTGAGTTACAGCCCTGGCCTTTTAGGGCTCTTAATTCACTCTGACAGTTTCCTGAGCATCTGATGGAGGGTCCAGTTTGGATGCATAATCTTCTTGAGAGAGAATAGGGTTTAAACAGCTGTATTTTGCTACTGCCTTTCCATGCACTGCTGAACAAGCAGCCCTCTCTGCATGGACTACTGCTCAGGATTTTCTTTGGAAAGGAGGGAAAAGGAGCTGAAACCATTAAAGCCTCTGATAGCAAACCCAAGAGGTGCAGCAGGACACTGCATGGAGCAGGAGCCACTCTCACCATTGTGGTCAGAGTGGGAAGGGGCCTCATGCCACCACATGTGCATCAGAGCATCTCATCTTCTTCAGGAAAAGCTGTCAGCTGGGCAGTTCCCAGGGCTAACAGTACTGGTGGCATCTCCTGCCGGACAAAGGACAGAAAAGGACAAAGCACTCCCTGAGCTGTTTTGCAGGTGCAGCTGGGAGCCTGCCTGACTGGTGTGCAACAACACAAACACAGAGGCTTGACAGAGCAGGAATCTGAGCTAATGGCACAATAAATCAGCCAGGAGGAAGAGAAGGTAACATTAACCTACACACACAGCAGCATGTTTAGTATATTTAGAAACTCAGCAACTGATGATCCTCTCTTAGCCAGTCTAAAGTGTCACCATTTAATAAGTGAACAAACTGACATCAGCATTAAATTCAAGCCCATGGTAAGATGTCTTTGACCTTTGTGCCAGGTATGGAGGAAGCTTTCAAGATTCATCTTGGAGAGTAGTCAGAGTCCTGTCAGGGTCTGCAGCATCCTCTGTGTAGGGTAAAGGTGAGGGGCTGGAGAAGGAGGGTTTGACAGTTATTCACTGTCACCCTTCCAGGAGGAAGCGGCACCCAATGGTATTTTCCACCAAACCACTACTGAATGCTGGTTTAAGACTTGGAGATGCAGGTATGTAACATTTATTTTCCTTTGCTCTCTTAAGCAGAGCATCTCCAAGTTGGTGGAACAAGCAGAGAATACCTTGGGGACCCCAGCTGTTCCCCAATCCCATCATGGGGGTCCAGAAACATTTTAGTGATTAATTTTGTTTGGAAGAGAAGAGCTCCCGTTGTTTGCTGCCCTTCTCATTTCAATTAGCCACGTTCCCCAACAAAACTTACCATGCATAAGTTGGGAGACATTTGGGGCACGTTATGTTTGGTCCTTCCGATGCCTTCCTCTTGAAGGTTATTTGATTGGCAAATGGAATGCAGAGGAAACTGGCAATGCTGACAGTTTATAGCAATATAATTTCTTCTATAAATTTCTGATGGGTTTGACATCTTACCTACCTGGCACTACTGTTCTGAAGACAGGCTGTGCAAAGAAAGAGAATATTGAGGATTCCTTAGGTTTTGAGTTGTTAGCAGATTTAAAGGGGAGAATGACTGATTAGAGGCAAGAAACAAGGAATAGTTCAGGCAACTGAATTGCCCAGAAGTGGTCTGTTGAAATGTGTATATTATGGGCCAAGACCCACAGGGAGGCTGGTTGTAAAGTACAATAAAAAGATGGATTTAAGCTTTCATGCTCCACTACATTCTGATAAACCATCATAAACCATCTGGTGACCGTAGGGACACATCACTGTTTTGCCATCATTTGGCCAGAGATTAGTTGTCAAACCCAGCAGCAACCCCAAAGCAGAGGTGTGGGACCAGCAGGGTAATGCTGGCCATCTCACTGGTCTTGGTGGGTGCAGTGAGGGGCAAAGAGGCTTGCTCTGTGCCAGGACTTTTTTAGCAAGACATTATCTAGTGTGAAATGCTGCAGGATTACAGCTTCTAAATAAAGCCTGGAGAGTTGTACCTGTTGCTGCCTTGAGTAAGCAAGCTCTGTGTTAAACTGTCTGAGACCAAGCTGTTATGCTAATTTAAACATGTCAAATATTTGTTCTCTGCTCCACACTACCACATTATTTGATAAGCAATGTCCTGTAGGTTTGTCAGGGAGTAACCACATGGCAGGGAGGATTGAATTGCTGTGACTGGCCCATGGGGCAAATAGCTTGACATTATGGAGTTTGTACTGGGTACAGGCAAGGAAGAACCAAGCCCTAAGGACATGCAAATAATGGGATTATTTCTTCTGCACTCAGCAGTCTCTTAGGCCATTTGGAAGAGGAAACCCATCCTCTCTTTACCAGTACTGCCCCTGTATTTTTTAGCCCTGAGGATGGTGGGACTCTAGCTGCAGGGTAAAGAGAGGTAAAGCTTCCCTTGACATGCAAAACCCCCCAAAAGGCCGTGGGCATCTGCAGCACTGTAGGGTGATGCCAGGTGGCTCAGGTTTCTCTCCTTCCTTGCAACATTCATGTCCAAGTTTCACTGCTGTATCCATGGCAGATGTATAGACCGGGATTTGGGAGTGGAAGGAGTTCTCCTCCACACCCTCACCGTTTGTGGCTGAACTGAAGGTTGTCACTGAGGCTGAGAGACACATGCTTGACAGCTGTGATTTACCAAGATGGTCATACATGTCTATTTATTTAGGGTTATAAAGCAAGGCGACTTTCCAGACCCTCCCTTGGTTTCTCCAAACTTTGTAAGAAAAGTTCTTTAAGCCAGGACTCTCTCAGCAGATAATTTTGTTGTTTCTTTCTGTTTTAATAAAAAGGGTGATAACAAATAACTGGTTTTAAAAGTTCTATTTGTGCAGGAATATCCTGCTTTTATGCGTTTTTAGGCATCTCTATCAATAGAGCAGAAAGCAGAGCTCCATTTGAGATGGTGAGTGGACGAAAAAAATACAAATGTGGACAGATAAATCCATTCCTTGTATGGATAACAGGTACATACAGGCTGTGAACATTGCCTAATAATATAGGGTTAAGAAAATGTAAATTAATATTTAATTACTTTATCCAAAGCGGAAGAGCTTGGACAAGAGAGAGTTCTATTTCAGAAGAAGCATAGCCTGGATGTATGAACTCTCCACACAAGTAAAAGACTGATATAAGAAAACAAAGTGCTCTATGAAGAAACTTTTGGGCTGGCTGATAAGAAGCAAATGCTTTGAAATAGTCTGGGGTTTTCCCTGGATTCTGTCCAGGGGCTGGTTTGAGCCCCAGGGGAGAGAAGCCTGCTCAAGGTGACTGATGAAGCATGAGGCAGTATAAGTAACAATGACTATTTATATACTGAGAATGCACTGTAATTTAAAGGTGAGAGAATACAGATCCTTAACAGACTAGTGGGGAAAAGGAATTCAGTAAGCTGGATTGAAAAAAATAAATGTCCTGGCAGGATCCAATGAGTGACTGGAACATTCAGTGTGTTCCTGACAAGGGGAAAAGCATGTACAAGAAGGTTCCTGTGCCTGGCTGGCACATCTGCTGAGGCAGGGCTGTCAGTGCCTCATACCAGGGCCAGGGGGACAGAATGAAGCTCTGTGCAGGAGAGTGGGCCTCTTTCTCTTGACAAGGGTCTCCCACTGTGTTTTTGGCAAGAAAGCTCTCCCAGTCACACTAGCGCTCAGAGGGGCACAGGTTTCACAGAGACACCCATAGCACCCCACTGCAAACACCCCAAAAAGCTGCCTATTGAAAGCTGGTTGTTGCTCAGTGTGTGGGACGTGGAGTGTCGGGCTCAGTGAGTGTCGAATACCTGAGACCACGGCTCAAATGTCATGCTGGGGAGCAAGCAGGGTGGGCGAGGGGAGGCAGCACAGCAGAGGCTGCGCAGGCTGAACGGTACCAGCTTCCTCCCGCCTGCAGGAAGGAGGTTGGGTACCAGCTGCTAAGCAAGAAAGCAAGTGGAAAACTATGACCTATAGGAAAGGAAACTATGTGAGGCACGTCGGGTCTCTGAAGACTACAGATGAGCTGGTGATACCAACACTGGAAACAGATGCTAAACTGATTGGAAATCATTTTGGCAGAATGCCATAGCTGGAGCAGGAGCCCTGGTAAAAACAAATTGATGCAAAATGCATTCTGAAGTCTCAGATCTGTTTGATTTTGAGAAAATAGTGAGCTGTTTTCTCTTTGGTATCACTGCAGGACTTTGCACAGGCCACACACCAGTGTATCTTGCTGAAAGCAGTTAGATACACACTTGGAAAGTGGCCAAATGCTGCTGCTTGGCACCAGGACCCATTCAGGGAAGCAGCATCTTAGTGACTCCTTGGCTGACAGCTCTGGAAGGAAACGAGTATCGCCAATTTCAGCTTCTCCTGCTGCCTGCAGAACTCCTGCACTAATGGTGACATCTCGCTAAAGAAGTGGATAAACAATGGAAGACCTTGTAGAGATTTTACCAGAACACCAGTAAAGTAATATAGGCTGGTATAAGGTGAAGGTTAGGGGAATGCAAGAACACAACAAAACTTGGAAAAGCCTATTACCCTAATCCCCAAAGCTGGGGGTTGAGCCTGCACTACCATCAGTGCAGCTTCTGGTAGGGCAGGGAAGCTTTCTAAGACTGATTTGTTTTTTTTTTTTTTAAGGGTAACACACAAGAAACAAATCTAAAACCTGTGTTAGACACAAAAGGAGAGGAATAAATATCTGTTAACACATATATTTGGGTCAATATATTGAAAAACACATGGTAATATTTTGGAAGAAATATTCCAGATGGACAGACACCTAGTTTGGTTGCACCAATGTCTAGAAGTGTCTGACATACTGCAGTATCTCCTGCAACTCCTTTTCTTAGTCCTCGTACTTGTGCTTGACACATATTCCACCAGTCCTCACATGATAAAACTTTTCTTGTCATGGCTACAGTTCAGGGAACAACTTTGTATAAACACATAAAACTGGAGTTTAAAACCTATACTCCATGTTTTGCTGTAGCACTGAACTATGGGCCCATATTCTGCATTTCAATAGCACTGTATTTCCCATAGGCTGCAAAGCTGCACGCCAGCCCCACACTGCCCCCAGCATAGCAGGGTTTTCAGATGGGCTAAAGAGAAACCAACCTAGTAAAGGTTTCACTCTGCCTCATTGCATTGGTCATAGCTTTAGTGCTGTGAGCTTGCATTACCTTTTCCTCTTAAATTTAGAAAACATAGGTTTTATCCATATAGGAGAACCCTAAGAAACCAATATTAATGAATATTTTGATCATTATTGAATGTAATGTGTCCTCTTTGACCTTTCTATTTTAACAGCAGCACCTATATGTTCCTATGAACCCTAAACACTCGGCACGGCATTTTTAATTTTGAACCATGGATCTAGATTTCTGGAGGGACAGGAATTTAGCAGCTACTCTCACAGTTCCTGACCTTTACTAACTAACATGGCAAACTGTCAAAGATGGGGTTTTTCCCTGGGAAGATACTCATTTGGGATCCTGTAATGGCAACAGATTTGCTTTTCCTAATCAGCAGAAGTTGTAGTGAGGTGACACTTCCCTGGGAGGTATCTT